GATACTATGTGTGGGGATCTACCACAACTCTCCAGGACAATCTCAAATAAATCAGCCTCAGATTCCTCATCAAACTCCAGTTCATGGTTTGCAGCACTTGGGTTTTGGCTGCCTTTGGTTGTACATCTGTTGAGCCACTGAGAGTCAATTCTTTCCATTGAGAAGAGCTCCATGCTGTCTTCATAAAAAGCAGCAGCTGAGGATCTCACAAGAGGGCCAACAAAGCAAGGATTGGGTGTCCTTTGGGCATTGGCTGGTGCATACTTGAAGACACTTTGTCCCAAATTGACCAAGACTGTCATGTCAGTGTTTGCTGCAAGAACTGGATAGAGGGGAGTGCTAAATTCCTCTGACTTGCAATGGATCACATGGACCAGCTCTGATTCTACAGTGAAGTATACTTTCTTTTGTCTAGGATCAAACCCACACCCAATAACTTTGTCTGTTCTTCCCCATGTTGCTTTTTCTGATTCAAAGACAAGTTTAATCCCTGAAAGAAAAAGAACCCATGTTAAAAGTAATTGTAATGTTCATAAAAATAGGAGTAAACTACACCTACTAATATTCTACCTTTTATTTTTTTGGTTAAAAGTTTTATCAACAACTCCAAACCTACTTCAGATACAACCAAGGATGGCACCATGCATTGGGTCCATACTAACATTAATTTCCATTATAATCCATGACATCCTGCTGTGCTGTCAGAGATTCTTTAGGTGAGAGATTTATTTCATTTTGGTGGTTTGCCACTCTCTCTTTTGTTTCTTTTTGGGCCAAAATAAACCCAAAACTAGAAAACTATCATACTCAGCTGTCCAGAGACAATGCACATTGCAAAGAACACAGTGTCATCTGTTCATCATCATCATCTTGGGTAAAATTCAATGCAAGAGATAAGGGAAATTTAAATTACCATCAAGATGGACTGAACCATTGGAGCCGAATCCGATGCTTCCGGGGTAGCTGCCTGGAAGTTTGAGAGGAAGAGAGCCTCCTACAGTGAGCCCAACTGACAACAAAATAGCCTCACCTTTGCCATGATTATGATGATCCTCTTTAACACTAAGCTTCAATTCCTCAATTCTGCTGATTCTTTGACTGCTAGTGACATGAACCAAAGAATCTGAACCTGGGTTTTCTTCTTTAGTCTCTTGAATGAGTTTAGTCTTCTCACCTTCCTTCACCTTCCCATTTGACTCGCTCAATTCATCCCCACGAGAATACAAAATTGTGATCTCAAAATAAGTTTCTTGCGGGAATGAGTTGTTTCCCAAGGCAGGGCCTGGCAAAGGCAGAGCTGTCCTGATCACAGAGGCAGCAGCCGTAGAATTAGAACTGCCTAAATTCAACACCTTTTTCAACCCAGAATTTAGCCTAATCTTCTGCATGAAATCAGCTGAACCTTGACACACTTCCCAGCTTATCTCCGGCTCTGTCTCCCTTATTCTCTGATCACCAACCGCGCACAAACCCAAAAGCCTTGATTTTGTTGAAGGGGATGACATGAAACTTGTGAAAGCGAATCGAGACCATCCATTTTCTACAGCATCAGTGATGGACGTTGGATGATTAGCCCAACTAAACAGAGGCTTCCCTGAAACCCCACGTCGATAGTAATCGTTTCCTGTTGGTCTCTTGCTTTCTAAACCAGCTGGCTGATGATGATGAAGCTTTGCAATCCCAGCTTGCAAGCCCTCAGGTCTAGTATTTTCCGTTCTGCCACCAACACTTTGTCTATTTTTCCTGTAACAATTCCATCGCCATGAAACGAGACCAACAATGACTGCAACAATTGGTATGCACACCAGCACCACCACACCATGTACCAATCCAAACATCTTTTGAATCTCCACCCAAATGGGCTAATCAAAGTTATGTTCTTTTTTGTGAAACGAATCAAAAAATGAAAAGAAAAGGCAAAGGTTGGTTCTGATAAGAGCAGAGAAATTACAAGGAGAAACCCAGAAAGGCAGGCGTGGACTAGGACTGGTTCAAGAAAGGCAGGAAGGAAGAGGGTGGTCTAAGACTCTAAGCAAACAAAACAGAGGCACATGATAATAAGAAGAAAGAGAAAACATTAAAACATGGCAATGGCAATGGCAATGGCAAAGGCAAATTGTGGCATGGCACATCTTATGTGAGTCCTGTCCTGATAGATGGGCTAAACGTTTTTCAAGGGCAGAGACTTTTAATTTCTTTAATTAATTTATGAGAACCGACAGTCTTTCGTCATTAAAAAAAAAACGCGTTGATTTTTTATTCATTATGGTTTTTCTTTTTTTTACTCAAAAGAGGTAGAGACAGAGGGATGCTTAAGAATCAGGATATGTTTTGTGTTTTTATTTGGCATGCACTTCTAGAAAGCCAAAAGGTCAAAAAAAAATAAAAAATAAAAATTACTGAGAGGGTAAATATTCTTTTCTTTTGGGCTATTTTTTTCTTGTCTGGTATTCGGATAATGAGAGGGGACATTGAGAGGTTTTGGGTGCATGCATGATGCAGGGATGGGGGATGTTAAAATAAAATAAAATAAAATTACAAAAAGGTGAAAGAAACTGCAGAAGTTTATAGCAGTTGGTAGTTACTTGTCGAATGGCAGTTAGTTTCATTTTGCTACCTTTATGCTTATGGGAGCTAAGTATGCTTATCCGCAAAATGAAAAGTCAGTAAGTCATCTTAAAGAGGCTTCAACCACAATGCCAAAAGGTGATTTGAGATTACAAGAACAGACAGAGGCCGTAAGATCAGGGATATAGGTAAAGGTAATCTATGGAAATCAAACCTTTTTTTCTTTGTTACAGTGATTGGACTCAAAAATATGGTAGGTCTCAATTTTCATGAAATATTTTTCCATGGTTGGATTATGTAGTACTATCTACTCTGTTTTGGAACCAAATCCACTCATTAATTTCCTTTCTACCTTAGGAGATACGCTATATGGGAAAAGGGATGACAAGAAATGAACTTTTACTCCGCATTTGAATAAGAGAAATGAATTTACGGGCAAATATTTATAAATTCCACATCCAAACGTAAAGTTATAATATAGTTTATTTGTCTCATTTGGGTTTTATCTAGCTAGTGTTTTGGTCAAGCATACTGGTACTGGGTGGAATAGATGGTGGTGGTGCATTCAACATGCATAGCACTAAACTGTATTTATAGTAGTGACCCTCCTTCCTTTCTTTCTTTAATGGTGGTCAACTAAATATATTCATGGAGATAACCCTAATTCTTCCATTCAAAACCACTAAAACTTTTATGTGCAATGTCGATGGCACACTACTACACTAGTACATCATCAGCTGCCCACTTACTACCATATTTTATTATAATTGTCTCAAAAGGGACGTTTGAAAATTCAAACCAAAATCCTTGCTTTGATCTTGATGTGGTGAGGTGACTCTAACAGCTGCTGCTGCCATTCCAAGCCAAAAGGAAGAGATTCAAGTTTTAAGGATGAAAGCTAAAGTGAAAGTTAGTAACATGCAAAGCTTCTAACTAAAGACTTAAAAAAGAACTTTTTTTTATATATATTTGCTTGGTACTAAACAGGATTTTATCTTTACTTACTATAAAACCAAGCTTTGGGGTCTACATAATTAAGTATTGGGACCGTACTAGCTAATTTCATTATTCAGGTATGTTAATGCAAACCGGGATTGGTAGCTACTCAACTACAGAAGACCCACCAAAGTTGTTCACTTAATTCCTTATCATTCATCGGCAAAATTTAAATAAGAGACATAATAAATAATTAGTTATCATCTTGTGACTAATCATCTCAATTATATTATATAATTGCCTTGCTTTTGGGGGCTGGTAATCGTTGAGGATAAAGACTGTATTAATAATAATTCTGAAGAAAACTGCCATGAATCAAGGAGGAAATAATCAAGGATATCCTTAGTGCCCGTAGAACAATCTTGAAGGACTCACCAAATTATACATATTCGAGTCTATAATTTTATAATAAATCTTTATTTGGATGACAAAACTTGCTATTGGGATATAGCTCAGTTGGTTGAGTTCTTTCATTTCCACTCATGTGGGCAGAGGTTCGAAACCTCAAGACACCCTATGATTATTTGTATATAAACCCCCCCTTCGCTATCACTTGTACTAAAAAAAATTACAAAAACCCATGTTCAAAATAAGTTCTGTATAAACCATTTAAACACATAAAATAAAGTAATTTGTGATGGAAAGATTGTTATGGACGATATGAAGCAATTCCCTCTTCTTCTTCTTTTCTGAGCTTGAAAATGGCAAAAGAACCTTTCAAAAAAGGAAAAGAGAAAGTGTATACTGATAAAGAGCAAGAAAAAGAATGAAAGCCACCATTGAGGATAATGACCTGAAAATAGTAAAGCCTTTTCATGGCACAACATTTCCAAGCAAAACCATTTAAGTAAGAGCTCATCCATTTCATTTGTCTCTCTTCTCACAGACAGAGTTGCCACTAGCTATGATTGGCTAGGGTTTCTTAGGAGGATAATCTAGGACTCGGGAAACCAAACCAAATGACATTCCACTAGACGTCAAAACTACATCATCATATAATGAGTAAACATTTTTAGCAAAAACCACTAGATTCATGATCAATGAGTAAAAGGGAAATTGTCGACAACTACTATAATTTGTCAGTCAATAAATAGGATTAATGTTAAGAAAATTGAGTTAAAAAGCGAGATTTTTCGAACGCATTTCGTCTTAAAGAATTGTGCAATGCTAAATGAAATTTCAAATATGAGTGTATTGAGGAGTTCAATTCAGCCATCTAATAATAACGTTTTTATTTATTATACGGCTATTAAGGAATCCTTCACTATAAACACTCGTTATAACACATCACTATTGCCTCACGGTTAACATTGGCAACTAAGAAAGCCCATTTATATAACTGTGCGCTTAATTTTTCAGACTAAAATTGTCAAGAAGGCCCATTGTTGAAATCCCAATGGATCAATTCGGATATACCCATGTAATATCCCAAACGGATAACAGAGTTGCAGAAAGCAACCAAAATAACCAAGCAACAAGACGAAGGCGCGCTCTCACTTACAGTGACAGAGTGACCGCCATAAATGAACCATGAACCTCCTCTGCAACCCAATACACACCTTCCCCTATAAACCCTTCCCTCTAATTTCCCTCCATTCCTCCCGCTCTCCCTTCTTCAACTCAAAACGCTCGTTTCAACCCCAACCCATCACCACCTTAAGCATAAGGACTCGGAGCTATGTTGCTATCAAGGCAGCAGCAAACTCCGAAATTGACATGGTGCAGAACAAGCAAGGCATATACACGCCGAAGCAGAAGAAGGTGGTGATCTTATGGGACTTGGACAACAAACCCCCTCGCGGGCCGCCGTACCAAGCAGCAATGGCCCTGAAACAGGTGGCCCAGCGCTTCGGTGAGGTCGTAGAGTCGTCAGCGTACGCCAACCGTCACGCGTTCGATCATTTGCCTCAGTGGGTCATCGAACAACGCCGCGAGCGCAAACAATTAGACATATTGGAGCGCAAGGGTTTAGTCGTTCCTTCTGAGCCTTACATTTGTGGAGTATGTGGTCGAAAGTGCAAGTCCAATTTGGATTTGAAAAAGCACTTCAAGCAGCTGCACGAGAGGGAGAGACAGAAGAAGCTGAATCGAATGAGGTCTCTGAAAGGGAAGAAACGGCAGCGTTTTAAGGAGAGGTTTGTATCTGGGAACCACAAGTACAATGAGGCTGCGAGGTCTTTGATCAAGCCCAAGGTCGGGTATGGGTTGGCCTCGGAGTTAAGAAGAGCGGGTGTTTTTGTGAAGACTGTGGAGGACAAGCCTCAGGCTGCTGATTGGGCATTGAAGAGGCAAATGCAGCATTCTATGAGCCGTGGGATTGACTGGTTGTTCTTGGTTTCGGACGATTCAGATTTTTCGGAGATGTTGAGGAAGGCTAGAGAGGCCAACTTGGGGACTGTGGTGGTGGGGGATTTTGACGGAGCTTTGGGAAGGCACGCGGATGTTTGGATGCCTTGGATTGGGGTCGAAAATGGGGAGGTTTCAGAGAAGGATTTGGTACCCAAAAGGAGGAGAAGTGAGTTCTTTGATGAGGATGATGATGATAAGGGTGATGGGTTGTTTTCGCATTCAGTTTTCGATGGTGGCAGTGAATTGGACAATGTGGTTGATGAACTTGTTGTTACTAGGTCCCCGTCTAGTGGAATGAGGATTTCGGCGTTTTCGGAAGGGGAATTGGAAGGAGGAGATTGGGTGGAAGACGATGGGGATAGCGAAGATGGTGAGGACTATTTGCTGGATAGTGAGGATGAGGAAGATGGATTTTTTTGATATGGCAAACTTAGTTGGTTGTTGGATCAGGCATGTGATTGAACTGATACTTTGAGGCCATTTTGATTCAATTGTGGCACTGGTTTAGTTTTTTTCTGAGGTTGAGCAAATATGCATTGGGGGTGTATAGGAATATACAAGGAGATGAGGAAGGAATGGCTATTCTAATTGGTTATTCATGGCAAGGATGCACTTGGTTTTTTTCGCCATGTAAAGTGTTTATAGTTTCTCCATTTAAGAATTCACAGGATATGTATGGCCAGAATTTCCTTCTTCATCATACACAATTTGAAGGTTCCAAATTTCTTTCGTTTACATTTCCTTTAGCTTAGTATGAAATGAATACTAGTGCTTATGGTTCTGCCCTAATAATTAGTAATCCACTAACTAAATTCTATCACAATTAGCTATCTATGTTTATTATAACATTGCATTTCTTTTGTTGTTTGAGCTTTTGAATCATGCTTATTCTTAGACATGCCATTTTGTGGGTTATGGATACGTAGAAATATACAATTGCAATAGATGGTTGATCAGTTGCATTTTACCAACTGCAGGCATTTCCATTTCCCCTCAATCCCAAAGGTTTTTTTTTTTCACTGAAGTTTCTTTTGCTAATTAGATAAAGATAAATATTGTTGGGATGATGTTGTCAAATGCTTTGTATGTACAGGTTTCAAATGTTGTTCCTTCTCCATATCTGGAATCACTTGGAAGTACATACATACAATTGTTGTAATAACTAAAACCTGGAATTATTATAATTTTGCTGGGACAGAAATTGGATACCTAATCACATTACGCTTTGATAGATCATATACTTTGTAAGAGCCTACATGCATATACAACAATTACTTTCTCTTCGTAGAAGCTTCACTCAACATTATAGATTGAAAGACCCTATCTATATAGTTTGAGTTTTAACTTGTTTTTGTTGTTAGGGGCAACTCTAGTGTAGCAGCCAAATGGCATTTCTATATTTCAAGTATGAAATTTTGATACTGATATGCGAACACTGATAGTTCCTTCCTACAATTTGGTTCACCCAGCATTAATTGTGTGGTGTGCCAAAACAATGTCATGGAATTCTATCATCATGAAGGCTTGGTGATCGTAGATAGGCGCAACGGCGCCAATGTTGGGGTTGCAGTTGGCTTTCTATGAATCTTCTTTACAGGTATTCATCATTCCTGAGTAGCAGAAGGCCTTATCAGCCTGGTGGAGGTTTCTGGCCATATAAGCTTCTGGTTCCTAATACAGAGGTCAGATGAGTTAATCAGCAATTTATTTGGAACAAGCGTAAAGATTTTCGATACTATAGTTTGTGTTGTAAATTGACTCTGTAATTAGTAGCCATTTCATTTGGAATAATAATAATACAAAGGTCATGCTCCCCATGAACGCATAAACTCTTTGGCGCAAATGTGCATTTTTTTGTTAATTTTGTTAGTGATTGAATGTTAGAATAGTTGTAAGTATGATTATGATATGCTTAAATGACACGCAAGATATTCCTGTCCATGACAGAAACTGATATGCAGGCAGAGACAACCTGAAGAAACCCCAACGAGACAACAACTATTACAATCATTTACTTATTATTTAAATAATATTTTCTGGTGTTTTCATGTTATTATTGTTTTGGGAAGGAAGGCAATATCCCTTGTTTTTTTCCCATTAGTTTCTTTGCTGCCGACTGAAGTCTGAATCCCCCGAGTTGGCGAGCCCCACGCCCCACTATATATACAATCTCTCTCAAATAAAAAGTAGGCAAACTTGTCCACGTCGCCCGATGAGTTTCATTTCTAAATGCCAACAACTTTGTCGACAGCCAAAAAAATAGAATTTAAAATAAGAAGAAGATTGTGAAAAATAACTTATGCGTCTTGATGTCCATTTAGGCCAAAGCTTAAACTTGAAGTTTTCCATGTTTCTCGTCGTTTGCTCTGCTTTTCCAACCACCAAAACGAAAACGATAATGAATGAATGGATGGATGCAAGGAAATGAAATGTCATTTCATCTTATAAAATTAACTTCGGCATCACATGGAACCTCGTCCTCCGTTGGTTGTATGGCGGGTGTCCAAGAAAAAACATCGTCCCATGTCCCATGGGCCATGATATCTTTATATTTAATTTGTTTTTTTTCCTAATGACACAATAATCCAATTTTGTTCTCAGCTTGTGGTGGGGCACTTGCGTATGGCCCATTTCAACGGTTAAGATTCGTCGCACTCTATGGGCTTCTACAATAGGGCCTAGAACAACCCAAACAAAATATTTATTTATTTATTTATTAAAATCTTTTATTTTTTTAGAAGACTTTTTAATATATATATATATAAGGCATAGTCTAAATTATATGGAGAGATAAGTTTCTTGCACACACTATCAATAGGTTATAGAAGTTCGAATCTGAAATCACTATTCTGCAAGTTAAGACTATTTTCTAATTGACTAGATCCCCTTTCCTTTTCGAGAAAACTTCAGTATCTAAAACTTGAAATAAAAATAAATAAAAAGGAGGTCTACAGGTTGGAATTTGGCAAAGCGTCGTGGTGCCTTCTCCAACTCCAAATATGAGATATGAATGAGCGACAGAGAATACCTCATTCCACTGCTGTTGGATTATATTTTATTGTTTTATTTGGTAAGGCGGTGCCATTGCACCCCAAACTTTTTTCATGGCGTTGAAGTCAATATTCAATTTGACCACCCAGCAATAATTATCCACAAACCCACTGCACAGCTGACACGTATCTAAAAATCATTTCTTTTCAGGTGGCCCCTGCCATTAGCTAGCCTATAATATTATAAAACAAATTTTTGTGGAGGCAGTATTTTGGAAATTAAAAAAAAATGGAATTTTAATAATCCATCAATTATCATTAATACAGGAAACATTACCATATAAAAAACAAGTGACAGGTCTTCGGGGGAAATAACTTGAACCGAACTGATTTTATAGTTATCAACTCTATCTTTTTCCTATTTTCTACAATTCCACTTGTTGATGTTGCCATCTGTCTATGTCCATCACCGACCTCTATGCCCACCTCTTTCATGGTCCTGATTGTTACTTTTAATCGCAAGTGGCAACAAACAAGTTGAAAAAGAAAAAACATAAAGCAAAACCAAGCGTGAAGAAAAAAGAACAAGGATCTTTTAGCCTTCATAAAAATAAAAATAAAAACAGTAATTTTTAGTTAAAAGTAGTTAAGGGTATTTATCTCTGCATCTTGAGGTTTTAAGTTCGATTTCTCATTCTCTCAATATCGATTGTAAACAAAAGAACCGTGCGAAGACATAGAAAGCTTGTTAAGATAGTATGTTCACTCCTTTACATCCGAGTTCAATCTTATTTCCGTATATTAGATAGAGTAATTAGAATATAAAAAAAGAGTGAAGAAGAAAAAGCTTTTTTTTATAACTTATGTTAGATGCCAATGGGCCAAAAGTGACTTTTGCCTAAAAAAAGACTTTAAAAAATTTGATAGAAATTGAGAATTGTTCTTGAATTACTTTAAATTGAAATCTTTAAGGAAAAAAATTGACTAAATTAAAACGAAAAGAATCAAAATAGTAAAAATAGTAAACTACCGAGATTAAAAGTGACTTTTTAAAAAGTTAAAAAAAAAAAAAAATTAGTGAAGAAGAAAGATACAAAAACAACATGAGTATGGCCCAGTTATTTAAGTTTGACAAACAAAATCTGAGCTCACAAAATAATGTAAATTTGTAATTTGGGCTAAGTGGATTGCGTACAAGAGGTGTAAACATCCATCCACGTCGGCTCTCACATGCCCACAAAACCGCTTACGTGGGCCCCAGTTTTGCATAAAAATAAACTACAAAATGGCTTTTCGTACTCACTAAAGGAGAAACAGAAGAGAAAAACGATAGGAGAAAGACGAGAGAGAAGATGGTATAAAACGTAGCGTTTTAGACAGAGAGCTGAGTGAGAAGGGGAGAGAGAGAGAGAGAAGGGGTGGGAGCTGATGGAATATGTCGGCCATTTTTGGATTTATCTTCAAGATACATCAACGTGGCGGCCGTGCCCGGACGACAGACTAGCAGCCAAGTACGAAACTAATCTATCTTTATGCCCAGTATCTGTTTGTATATATTTCCCTGTGAATATAATATAACCTTTGCTCTCAGGAATTGCAAGTGTTTTCTGATTATTTTTATTTGGTTTTTTTCGTTTTTGTGTTTTGGGATTATTTAGTTAGTTTCTAAAGCATCCACAACAAGAAGAACATCAGCAGATTAAAAGGGTTTTGATTAATATTAGGTAGCTTCTAACTTTTCTCGGGATGGAAGGAGAATATTGTTGTTCTTCATCTTCTTCGTCTTCAACAACCACAACAACAAGCATAGAGAAGCGCAAGCAGAGGCAAAACCAGCAGCAACAGCAACAAGTAGGAGGCAACCATGATCATCGTCATCAAGAAAAGCAATACAGAGGGATAAGGATGAGGAAGTGGGGGAAGTGGGTGGCTGAGATTAGAGAACCTAACTAGAGGACTCGAATCTGGCTTCGCTCTTTCACGACGCCGGTTGCCGCCCCCCGAGCTT